TTGATCTTAATATTTTTCCCCCAATCTCTTTATTTTTATTTTGCCGTTATATGAAAAACCATCATTAATCATAAATCCCTTTGAAAAACTTCCTTTAAATTCTTTGAAAAAGGTTTTTAGGAAATTTCTCCTCGTCTATAATAATAAAGGGACCTCTTTTTATTGCAATCATTTAAATACACCTAAAATTCATCTACTGAGACAAAATTTTTTCATTTTTGTCCGGATAACTATTTCTTATTAAGAACTCTGCAAAGTGTTCTGCATTCAGCGATATGTCGTGGAGAAAGTTGAAGCAAATTATGTTTTTTCACATTTTTTAAGGTTAAATTGATCAGAAGTTAGTTTGTTCTCCTTGAAAAGTCAACTAATTTCCAGTCAATGACGATAATTGCTTAATTTGTTAGTCATATTTTCGCTTTTAACTTTCATTTTAGCCTTTTACATGTCGCACTATGATGCAGAAATAAAAGCCACAACTAATTCATCAAATCCACATTAGAATACACACATAAACACTAAAAAACAAAAAAGGTTGGCGTAAAATAATTCTGTCAATGGTTTCCCGGATGTTTTATTTTTGGAACATTGGCATGTAAGGCTGCTTCCAAAATAAACTGATCACAAATCAATTTATTTTGGAAACTGTTTGGAACAATTTTTCAGTTTTGTCACAACAACCAATCACCACAGATTACTTTGGCGGAACCTGGCTCTCCATTACAAACAAGCTGATAGCTGATTGGTTGGAAACGGACAATTTGCAATTTTTTCAAAAGGAAGAAAAAAAATTCGTGCATATTTTCTTTCAATAGTAAACCAGGCAGAAAAATTTCTGAAATATTGCTCGTGTGAAACAAATGCATGTGCAATATGAGCCTAGCGTTAAGCCCATATCGCACATATTCTTTTGTCTTTTTTTTTGCTTCATGAAAACAAAGTGATGCATGATGAATCTTTTAAAAGTTTATGCTGTAATAATGGTTTACTGAAAAATCTGGTGTGAAATTATTAAAATTTAAGTAAAGTTCATTAAAAAAATTTACATAATTTTTAATTAGCGCAATATTTTATAAGAAATGCAATGCAAAATGTGTAAAGAAACAATAAAAACAACCATACACAAGCTTGACTAACAATATACATAATATGAATAAATGCAATTTTAAAAATGTAAAATAACTTACCAACAGAAAACAATATATTTTATCCTTTAGAGGGTGCATGGGATTTCAACCAGTAGCACAAAAAATATAAAACATTCAAAAACACTAATTTTTTGTAATCCTTTTTACCAGTTTCTCAGTGTCCATGATATTGCAGGAAGCAGCATACATGGGATATTTTTTTGCATTCAAACACATGTTCGTAGTGCATTTTTGAAACACTACACAATGTCCTTGTGGTGATGTAACTACACCTATGCCTCAATTTACACGATTTCAGTTTTACATGGTTTAAAAATTAAAAAACTTTATAAAAATGTATATTTGGCTGTTATACATGAATACATATATTTGAAGTTATTTTTTAATCTCATTCCTTTGGTAACACTGGTGGCAACAAGGAAGGAGATTCTCTGTGTTGTATAAGGGGATATCCACATAGTATGTATTTCTTAACAATAAAGTTACTTGGTTCATGTGAACTAGTGCAGTATTTTAGCAGCAATGCTTACATCATTTTTTATCTGCATATTTAAATGTTTACTAGTAAGCTTTCAACATTTATATTTTTTGTGGCATTTTTATAATTTACATTAATTTTTTAAGGTTCTATAATGCTAAAAGACTTGAAAAAAATTATATAAAAACAAAAGTTATTTCTTTTTTATTAAATGTCAACAGAGATTTTTTAAAAAAATGAGACTATTAGAAAAAGTGAGCAGCTGGAACTGCGCTTAGAGCACAATTTCATACATAAGCGAAGGCAATAGAATATGGAAAAGGCATTAGTGATATGGATAAAGACCAAAATCAAAAATGGATTCCAACTGATACTAATGCTATTACAAATAAAGATTTATAAAACACTTAAGAACCAGTAACCGTCGACTTCACTAGGAGGGCGGAGAAGGAAAGTATCTTTTTCTGTAAGTCATGGTTGGTTTGAGAGATTTAAACAAAGACATTCTTTACATAATCTAAGATTGAAATTAGAAAGCACATCAGCTGATTCGGATGCAGCACAACAATATCCAGCAAAATTTGCTGAAATCATTGCCGTCAACTCCTACACTTCTGATCAGATCTTCAATGCTCACCAATTTGAGTCACCTAATTTGAGTCTGGGTTGTTCTGGAAAAAAATGCCTGAAAGAATTTATTTAGCTAAAGCTTGCAAATCAGCTAGTGGTCATAAGGTAGCGAAAAGTCGTATTACAATTGTTTTCTGTTGCAACACTTCAGGCGATTATATAATGAAACCATTGTTTATTAACAAATAAAAAAAACTACACTACTAAAGGAATAAACATAAATAACCTTCCCGTTTATTGGATGGCTAATAAAAAAGCATGTGTCACAGCCATAGCTTTCAATGAATGGTTTCTTAACATGCCACTCTTCTAGATCCTTAAAATTTTACAACGGATTGCCTTAACTTACAGAAATAAGATCATTCAAGACAAAAAAATAGAATTACGTTTAAAAAACAACATTACAGAAATAGATCAAGGAATAATTTTGACTTTTAAGGCATTGTATATCAAACAAATTTTCAGGTATATTTTAGAACAAATGGAGAATGATGAATCTCTTACTCTTATGGATGACTGAAAGAAATTTACAATCTTAGATTGTGTTAAGCATGTTGGACTGTCATATACTTAGATTAAACAATCAACGCAAGCTGGAAAGCAATGTGGTCGGATGGTGCTAAAGACGAGAATGATAGATTACCATTAGATCACGAATATTCTCAGACCTAAATTGGTCCAAACTATAGGAGGAGAAGGTTTTGAGGATTTAGCTCAGGCAGATATTAAAGAAATAATGGCTGGTGAAGAACTAAATGAGGATGAGTTAGTTAACATAATTCATGAAACAAACATGATGAAGACAATGATTCTGATGAAGAGCAATCTTAACCAGTTGCATTCACAGCAAGAGCCATCAGCGTAGGACTTGAATTGGGAAGAAAATTAGGTAATTATTTTTTACAATATGATACAAATGTTGAATGAGCTCTCCGATTCCAACGGGAGCTTAGTAAGTGCTTAAATCAATATGAGGAGGTTTACAAAGATTTAAGGAAAAAACCATAGGCAATTGTTAATTACGGATTTCACTACAAAGTCTTGTTGATCTGAAATCTTCCCTAATCTGTCAAACCATTGAAGCAGAATCTTATCAAGAACGATCATGTGATGAAAGTGACATTATACCAATCAAGAAGAAAAGTGATTAATTCATTAAAGTGATTAAACTTATAATAATTTTTTGAATGATCTTATATTTTCCTAATGTAAAATAAATTAAATATGCACTTCTATTATCTACATATATTTGTTATTTTATGAACAAAGAATAATGCTATTTATTTTAAGATGTCTTAATTTTGTTTTATCTAACTAAATTATGCACATTTAATGTTTTTCTCATTTTACATAGCAAAATCCAAGATTTCGTTTTGTTTGTGCGGAAACCATCTTCGTGTTCCATTTGTAAATCGAGGGATAGGTGTATATAACGTGCATCTGATTTTCTTGCAGACGTTGGCTGATGGGCTCGGGGTCCAGGTATATTGTGAATTTTAGGTTTCGTTCGAAGTAAATTCAAAGCGATTTCTCTTCTAAAATTCATGTGAGTGATTTCTAAAATGGTGTTTTTGTGTAAATGTGTGCAAGATTCACTCAGCAGCCACAATCATATTCAGCATTTTGATAAATAAGTTCTAATACCATTTTTTGCTACGAAACTGGTCGATAACTTGTGGTCCTTCAGAACATAACTTCCTTTTTTTTGGACACATCTTTTTGCTCTTTCGTGATAATTAGTTAACTTTCAACACAATATACAAATTACCCAATTTGAAATTTTGACATTTCTTTTGCTGTTTTAAGAGGACTTTATTCCATTCTTGAATCTTGTACTGTGCCAATTACCTTAAAGCCTTTGTTAGACAGATCTGTCAGCAGACTGTGCGATGAAAAAAAATTATGGAAAAATACTTTGTTTCTCTAGATTTCAGAGACAACTTTTGACCTAAGCTGCAAATTTTCATTTTTCAACTTTTCGGAGGGTCTAATAAATCCTTATGAAGCAGATGTGGTCATTTCTAACAAAAGAAACAAGCAGATATCGGAGCACAAAACAGGGAAATACAGCTGAAACCAATTACCACATCCCCCTTGGTGAGAGAGGTCATACCCTCTTCCAGTCTTCTGCCCCATCCTTTCTGCAGATAAATGATACACCATTAATGCCTCTAAAAAAGGGCATGTTTACAAGATATGAGCACTGAATGTATTTAAAAATCTAATAAAGAAAAATATACGTGCGATATCACTGATTTTGTATATCGTTACATGCCAATTTTACGCAGTCTTGAGGAAATATTTCTTGTTATTATTTCAATTTCTTTTATTAACTCATTAAACTTGTCCTTTGCAAGTATAATGGGGAAATGTTTGGGTGGATTTGAATTTTTAGGAATTTTATAAAAATTTTTCCTTAAGTACTGTAAAAATCTTAAAAAAAGCTAATTTTTAGAAATTTTTCTACGCTGAAATATTCATATTTAAAAAATAAATTTTATGTCAAAAAATCAATCATACCTTCTATAGTAAACAACAATTTTTTCAAACTGACAGATATATTTTATTTTTTAAAAAATATTAAACATGATGTTCCAAAAAAAAAAAAGGAACATAGGCATGTAAAAGGTTAATAAATCTATTTTAAATATGCTAATGAGTTAATTCAGTTCATAGACTTCTAACTATTTCAAAGGAGATAATATAAATAATCTACTAGAAAACAAATTACAATTTTATTACTTTGCAACTTTAGTGCAAGAGGCAATTAATTCATTACTTATAATTACCTCATATAGATGTAGTAAAACTGCTCCATTACAGTGATAAGACTGCATTATTATTGTAATAAGATGACTTGGTAGAAGTAAGTTGCAATGGATTGGCGGTGGTTCTCTGCATCATAACCTGAAGACAACATGATTGCATAGTTAAAACAATGGATGCATAAAAATAAAAAAACTTGCAGACATGGCCTAAATTCCACAAATAATTTTATTTCTGGATAATGCACATTATCACTGTAGGTGCGGTATGCACCTCCCAATTTTGTATAGATTATATCATTTTAAAGGACGAAAATTAGAAAAGTAATCTCTCTGGCAAGGCGACAAATAACAGAGCAATAATTTTTGTAACTAATCAGAAAACATCTGTCAGCTAATGCTGATTAGCATTGCGCACTCATCGATGAAGTTTGAACCCAACACCTGTACATTAAACTGCCATGTGATCTGAAATGGAATGCTGTATAAAAGCTTAAATGTGCGCAACTCTCTCTTCTGTCATCCCTTCTGCTTCCATACGCTTGTGCTGCCTTGCTGCAGAGTTTACTTTTCACATCGATTTTGTGTGTCTGCGTATACTGAAAAGTGTGCACATCTTCTGAAAGGTTCTAACGGTGTTTATAGTGAAAAAAGTGTCAGCGAATATTCAAGTTTGGTGCTTTAATTTTGTGTTTTAGAACTGTAAATTCTTCAGAAAAATTATAATTCAATGGAGATTATTTTGGAAATTTTTCAGTGTTCAGTTTTCAGAAAAAAGTAAAAATTAATAATGAAAACAAGATCACATTCAAAAGAAAATGAAGAAGAAACTGAAACTGCCACAGTCAGTGTGGATAAATTTCAGTGAGCCATATTCGATGGAACAAATCATGGCATTCCAGTGGATAAATACTTTCTATTGTTTGAAAAGAAGTGTGACTCTAAAAATATCGGCAAGAAGAATAAATCCTTACTGTTTTTTGAACATTTAAAAGGCGAGGTCTTAGCATTTTATTTAAGAGAATGTGTTGAGTTAGAATGGAAAGTAAGGAATAAATTTCTTATGTATTTTGCTAGTGCAGAAACCCTCACTTTTAGTGACTTTATTAACTGCACTTACTCCAAATTCACTGAGATTGACAAATATTATAGACAAAAGTTAAAATTGGCATCAAGTCTAAAATTAGATGACAAAATTATCATTGATGTGTTAAATCAGGATCTGCCTGAGAAACAGAAAATGTAAGCACAGTCCAAGATTGGATCAACACCGCTAGGAAATTGTTTCCTACTTCAAGTTCGTCTACCTCAGCTTCATTGGAGGAACCAAAATTTGCAATTCCAAGACCAAGTATACATCTAAGTTTTTACAAGTTTAGATATAGGTTTTTAAGACCATTTTTCAATCCTAGGTACCACAAACATCAAGAAATTCCTAGCCACGACAACTGTCTTATCTGTATAGATCATTTCCTTCTTTAAGTCTAGTCTAAACAATCAAAATTCTCAACAAATCGAACCAAAAAAGAAGAGAAATTATTTTAAAGTTAAGGCATAAATTAATTAAAAAGAAGTCCCTGCAATGCTGGACACAGGGTCTCTAAATGTGATATCTGAAAATATTTTAAATTCTTTTGATGCAAAAATTGAACTTACTCAAAATAATCCTAATACTAAATTATGTTCATTATCCATAGGTCTTGTTGTAACTAAAGTAATTAAATTACTATGCAAAATAGGCAAAATTAGTAATACTATAGTATTTTATGTTGCGAATTCTAATTTATCTTATTTATTATCATTATCTTGTGTTTCATTATTTAAATTGCAATTAAATTTTAATAATTATGAAGTGTATCAATTCAATTAAATAAACTTTCTCAGACTAATTTTGTATGTAAGAATAGTGTTAAGTACTGAAATTTTTATAATTATGCTGAATATAGTGAATTTGATCAATAGCAAAAATTATTAAGTAACTATAATCATATATTTGCTAAAAACAAATTTGATGTGGCTGTATGAATATGGAACCTCCACGAGTAGTCTTAACTTCAGAATTACCCATAGCCTCTCGATCCTATAAAGCCTCTCCTAAAGATACAGTGAAATTAATAGATAAACAGATGAATTATTAAATACTAGTATCATAAAACCTTCTTTTAGTCCTTATGCTGCACCTGTAACTTTAGCTTTGTTAACTGATGAAGAGAGATAAACAAGCAAAAACTAGGTTATATATTGGTTATTTGAAATTTGATCAAATTACCAAAACAGACTGTTAACCTATTCCTAGAATTGATGTTGTGTTAGATCAGTTAACAAATGCAAACATTTTTTCCATATTGCACTTAACATCAGGTTATTGGCATATAAAATTACATGATAAAGATACTGAAAAATTGGCATTTACTACAAATTTTGGTATTTATGAATTCACTAGATTACCTTTTGGTTGGAAAATTTCCTCAGCTGTTTTTCAAACAGCTCTTGGACAAATTTGAAACAATTTCCTTTAAATTATTTTGATGACATTATAGTGTTTTCCGCACATTTTGATGAACATCTTAAAATAATATTTGATATATATGAAAAACAAAATATAAAATTACTTTGTTAAAGAAAAAATAAATTTTCTAGGATATGAGGTTCAAGCAGGAAAATATCAGCCCAGTAATGCAAATATTGAGGTTATTAAAATATTACAACCTCCCTAAAAATGTTAAAGAATTACGAAGATTTTTGGGAAGTATAAAAGTATATCATAAATTTATTCAAAATTATGCAATAATTAGAGCTCCTTTAACAAATTTACTTAAAAAAGATACTCCTTATAAGTGGACTAACGACTGTCAAATAACTTTTCAAAAATTAAACAATGTGTTCATTTCAAGACCCATTCTAGCTTTGTTTAATCCAAAATATCCATGTTATGTATTTGTAGATGCATCTAAAGAAGCTGCTGGTGCAGTTTTAGAACAAAATCCAGATGGTAACCTACATCCAATTGCTTCCCATTCTAGAAAATTAAGGTCTTAAGAACAAAATTATGCAATTACTGAATCAGAATTTTTAGCAATTATTGATGCCATAGATAAATTTTATTATTATTTACATGATAATCATTTCACTGTAAATACTGATCATGCTGCTTTAGTTTGGCTTAATAATATTAAACATCTTACAGGTAGGTTATTCAGATGGTCTTCGAAATTATCTATGTATGACTAAGTTCAAAAAAGGTTTTACTAATGTTGAAGCTGATATGTTAACTAGAAACCTTAGTTGTCAACATATAAGTTTGCAAGTTAATTTATTATCATTAGAAGAAATTAAAGAACATCAAAATTTAGATAATGTCTCTAATCCTAAATATAAGAAAATTAATGATGTATTAATTACTAAAAAACAAGGACTATATAAAATTGTTATACCCATATCTCTCAGAACTAAATTACTTGAAAAGTTTCACTTACAATTTGGTGATATTGGTGTGTCCTCAATGTCAAATTTATTATCTCTTCAATTATTGACCAGGAATTGTTCAAGATGTTAGAAATTACTGTAAACATTGTGAAGTATGTCAGTTTAATAAGAAAAGTAAACAAAAAAGAATTTGGTTAATGCAATTTTTACCATCCCTTAATGAACCTTTTGAAATATTGTCTATTGATACTGTTGATGGATTAAATTATTATAACTCTACTAAAAACTTATTAAACATTATTATCAACCATGCTATTTAGTATACCTGGACTTTTGCTTCTAAAAGTGTAACTACTGATACTTATACAAATTGTTTTTTGGTTATAAATTTTTCAAATTCAAGTAAAGTAAATTTTAAGTGATAGAAATGCTGCTTTTATGTCTTCAAAATTTAAGCACTTGTAAGGTATATCCTAATTTTATTACAGTTATTTTTAAGCTCCTCTCCTGTCTCTTCCGGCTTCAGCTTACAATTCCTTACCAGAATGAGTTTTTAGAATCATGTTAAATGCAAATGACAAAAAGTAGTATTTGAGTCGATGTTCTGCTGACTTCGAGAGAGAGAATTAGGATTCCTGAATAGCGTGTGTTTGCTTACGTCTCTCTAAGCTGTTACTATGCTCCCGTATTACATGCCCTTGACAGCTTCGCTAGCTAATATTAGAAGCCAACTTGGCAATTGTGTTAGCTTTGGCTAAATCTCTTTAGTTAGACATTAGTTAAGATCTTATTTCATACATTTTTAAGTTAAGCCTAAGTGGAGGCTTTGTTGTACGTCCTGAGAAAGGGACCAACTTTATTTTGAGCAATAAAGAGTAATTAACCCTTCTTGAGTTTACGTTTCTATTTTTGGACTTAAGCAATTATTCACTTAATAGTTCATTAGGTTTTTCAACACTTAGTTAATAGATAAAAGTAAGGAAACCTACAGTGATGCCCGAAGCATTTTTGATGAACCATGCCGTTGGAAAATGAAAAATTTACGCTGACCCCTTCGACCTTTCAAATCTTGCAGCCGCCAGCAAATCCTATGGAGGAATTCCGTTTCATCGTAGAAACCATGCGAGCAGCTATGAAGCCAGTCGTAACATTCCGATGGCAAAGGTTCTGTGATGACTTTCCTAGAGCAGCTGGACCTGCATTTTACTTTACATCCCAGAAACCAGCTGCAGAAAGTTACAATTGCTACAGCTAACCTAAAATGCCAGGCCCTGAGTTGGTTCAAGGGTATCGGAAAGTTCCTGTTGAAGGATTCAGAATCGGAAAACTACATAGAAAAACCTTAAAAACATGCTATTAACAGCGTTTCCCATAGTCAAAGACCGAGCAAAGCTGGAGGCAGAGCTATTTAGTAAATATCAGATGAGCGTCGAAGATTTGATGGACTTTATTCTTAGGAAAATTCAAATATTTAATTTATTGTATGGAAAGAGGCCAGATAATGAATTAATCAAAGTGATTTTGCCGTGCCTGCTTCCGTCGATTCAAGATTTCCTGGAGGTAAAAAAATGCCCAGACCTTGGAAAACCTATTTCAGCTGGCTGTGAAGTTCCAAAGCAGATGAGCTGCTGAAAACACATGTTCAGAAAACTTTCGCCAGTATTCGAGGTTTTCGCCTCAACAGAAACCTCAAAGTAAGCAGAATTCTTATTGGCAAGCGGGGAAAGTTGAAAAAGAAGATAAAGAAGACGGGTCAGTCGAAAGTATTTGGAGATCACAGTAAGAAGCAGCAGAAGCAAAGGATTTAAACTGATCAGGGTGGCCGAGAAGAGGGCCCGGTCATCCCCTGGAACAAAAAAAAAAACCTCGGAAATTAAATTAAATGGTAGTTGTACAAAAATTGTTCCTTGCCGGAAATTCATATTTTACTGAACAATGCCCCTACTACCGCCTTACTGGACACTGGAGCGCAATGCAGCTTTTTGGAGCAAGACTTCTTTAAGAGGAATTTTCGCCATTACAGATAGTTTAAAACTACAGGACAGAGGGTAATTGCTGCACAAGGAAAACAGTGTTGTCTGCATTGGAAAAGTAAGGCTGCACGTGCAAATAAAGAATGAGATACAAAAAATTAATTTTCTGGTAGTGAAAGACCTATTAACTTCAGTTATTTTGGGGGTCGACTTTTACAGCACAGCAAGTGCAAAATTTAATTTTAAGAACTCTACAAGTCCAGATGGATACTGTTGAAGAAGAGGGGGCCATGCCAGATGTTGACCTCAACCATCTTCAGGAAGAGGAGAAAAAGAAAATGGAAAATTTGGTAAAACAATTTCGTAAACTATTCAATGAGAAACCTGGTTTTTGTCAGGTTGTACAGCACGAGACAGATGTAGGAAATACTCCCCCAGTCTGGTGTAAGGTGTGGTCTTAGTGATAAGACCAGGTGAAGGAAGAAATCTTGGAACAGCATATTAAACAGATACTGGCAAATAAAATAATTGTTCTGAGTAGCAGCCCAGTAGTTTTATATAGAAAGAAAAATGGCTTCCCACCCCCAGATCCGAATTTATGGAGTGCTTTTTGAATTTGATACAACACTTATAGGAGAGTTAGAGGCTAGTCTGATAAATTATCTGTGACTTAAGCAATAATATACATGATAAATCGATAAATTTGCTAAGAAATGTAATTTATGCAAAATTGTAGAAATAACAAAAATCATTAAATATTTTCCCATTATTGGCAATTGTACCACAGGCGTAAGTGTTTGCATGTCAATGTGAACTGACTGCACAGATGATATTTGCGGTGGCGAGAAACTTTTATTAAACCCAAAGTATTTAAATTTTAATACCAGAACAGTTTATTAACATAGTTGTTCTTTTTGAAATTGCAGCAACACTTTCCAGTAGATTGCTTTAAGTAGCACCACTTCTTTTTAAAATAATAATTTTAGACTTTTTTCATTATTGGATACTGCAGTTTTAGGTTTAACATGCAATTTTTCTGTCTTTCTGAAAGGGATACGAAGTTTAAACGAATGCAATTATAAAAGAATTTCAAAATATTTGATAAATATAAAAAATTTATTTACATGGAAAAGTTATGACCAATAACTAAAGCAATTCTTATATATGCATGTCTTGTTCGAAACATTGTAACAGTTTCAGTTTCCACTTCAGAGGTCTGCCACAGATTTTCTGCACAAGGGACAAGCACCATTCTGTAATTGAGATTTAAATTATACAAAATAATAAATAAAATATATTTAAGCATGGTTAAAAAAATTATGGGAGAACAGAGACAAAATACATTGAATACATGATGATTGCATATATATGCACATATATCTTTAAAAGACGATGGCATTTACTTACCATTCTAAACCACTGAAGAATACATTCCTCATGATAAAATGTCTGCATGGCAAACATGTCGCTTTCTCCGTTTCAGAAAGATCTTCTAAACACACACGACAATTTATTTTCTTATCTGAGAAAGAAATGTAATTAAAAAAAATTTTTTTTAAAAACCATTCTATAAAAGAATCACTTCATATAACATATAAAAGAAAAAAATACTTGTTCTAGCTTTTAAAATTAAACTGATTTATTGAATTCAGTAGCATTAAAAGAAAAATTATTCAGATTTCTAAAATAAAAGAAAATTCATTAAAAAAGTTTTTTCAATGTAACAAATTTCATGAATAAGTAAATCTTTCTTCATTTATAAATAAATAAAAAAATTCTATTATAAGCATTACTATACCATCAAATAAAAACAACACAAGTGTTTTTCCCTGCCTTAATGATCTAGTACCTCTGTTTTTGAAAAGCATAATTTAAGTATACAATTTTCTAAGCATAATTTCTTATACTAATTAAGAGTCCAATCATAATTGTTTAATGCACAGTGCCCCGAAAGTCCTTACCTGGCTTTTATTTTTGTGTGGGTCAAACACATATACTTCCAATTATAAAACTGTTTAAAATGATGCAGGTTACAAAACTGTTTAAAATGATGCAAGTAATTTTGCATTTTTAAATTGAAAGACATCAATTTCATAAAAATTATGAAATTTTACCTTTCATATGTTCATCCAGTCCCTCCCTATACCTGGTTTAGAAAAATTTCAGAATAAAACAAAAAATGCTTGAATCGCATACAAAAAAAAATGAAAAAGATATTCGATATTAAAATCTGAGATCCTAACGAGCTGTACACAAATGAAAGAGCAAAATTTTTATATTTGTACATAACTAAAAATAAAATTTCAGTTAGGAAAAAGGTTCTTGATTAATATGCATTTCTATCGATATTATTCTGAAAAATACAGATCAACATAATATTTTGCAAAATGCAGATCTCGTATACAAAATCTTGTAGAATTTCCATTACATATATACACATACCTATAGATCATATCGGCAAAAATCTTTACGTAGTACAGTACTCGCCACTTATTAAAATTACTATCTTTCCAAGCATATTCGAGTTTAATTACAAACCATATCAGTTTTAAACTTTCAATGTAAATAATGACTACCAATTAATTAATTTAAAAGCATTAATTCAAAATTAACACTAAAATTAAACTATTTATGCAATTTGGAAACTTATTTTTTACAAAACTACTTTTATAAAACTGATGAAATTTCATCCCTTACAAACAAATGTTCTATGTGTCCTCCCCCCCCAAAAAAAATTGTTCAAAAAGTTTTTAAATTGCACTCTCGTTTCATAAAACAGCTAATAGCTTTTTTGATCAGCGAGTTTTCAGCTCCAGAATTATTCTTATTTCAGTGATTTTCTGCATTTGATTCATGATGGCAAGTTATTGCTATTATTTCTGCAGTTTTTTTTAACACTTTCGTACTCAGTTTTTATACACATTGTTTCAATATTGTTGTGAATTCACACACATTCTAAAAATGAATCCACATACCTTCTTTCACTGATACCTGAAACAAAAGCTCTGTAAAATCCAAATTTTCGAAAACCGTTCTTGACTGGTTACCCTGCAGTTAGCATCCTAGACTCTAGTTATTTAGACTAGCAGTTACTTAATATGCATAGTGTATTGACTTTTTTGAAGTGCTTGCAGAAAATTCAGTTTTTTTTTCCCCCCCCCCATTATTTACTCAATATCTTTTCTTTCTGCAATTTTTTCTATTTGCAAGAAGACGCATTAATGTTTTTCAGAAAAGATCAGAGCTGTTTGATGCATGGTTATGTGTGTGCTCCATGTTTATCTTTTCCCATTTTTGAGCTTGCTGTCCCATTTCAAAAGAAAATTAGTAAAAATACAATACACTGGTAAAGTCCCTGAAGAACTCTAACAACTTGTTCTTTGGGTATGAAATAACTTACACATTTGGTACTAGTCACATTTTCACAAGCAAGGTTCAAAGCTTTTATGACAAGTGACATAAGTTACAGTACATAACTTTGACATGCGACAAAATAACCTCTTGACCATCCTTCAACTGAAAGCAAATTTAATAAATCTATGTATCGAGATGAACTCTGGCTGTCGCTGTTATTCATTAGAGAAAAATGGTCCTAAGGTCTTGTTATGCAGATACAAAACACTAAAATTCACTTTCTGGCAGTCATGCTTCAATTTCTATGTGACATGAAGATTTTTTGGAAATTTGAAAAATACCCTCAAATGACATGCTGGGCAATTCCCGAGAAACCAAAGCAAATACGTACAAGTCTTTAATCCGATGATCATAATCGGATCAAAGTACAAACTTCTGCGGTAAATGTAAGATAGCATGCACATTTAATGATTTAATGTATAAACGGTATAAGCTAGGTTAAATTATCTATTTCAGTTAATGTTGCAGATTGCGCTGTTCCTTAATCTTCTAATTGGATCCGGCTTATTATTTTTTACAGACTGTTAGAGCAATTTTATAAAAAAGTAAGCTTGAACTTTAGATTATGTCAAAAAGAGTTTCCGATTCTGGAGCTGATAAAGGATCTACAAAGAGTAAGCATGTTTTGATGTCCATCAAACAAAAAGTGCAATTGCTGCAAAAAATGGATAAAGGCATATCCGTCTCAAAATTATGCGAGGAGTATGACATTGGAAAGTCAAAAGTATATGACATACCACTTCCGATAGTGAAGAAAGTGACAGAGAGATTAATAAAAACGAAAACATTTTGATTGACAAATCAGTCGGTATTCTCGACAGCAATTACAGGACTTGAACAGTGGAACTTTATATGTGGAACTTTATAGAACAGAATATATGTAACTGAACAAGAAATTATGTCTATTTATAGAATTAAAGAGAAAGTATTAGCACAAAAAATGAAACAACTTACATTGAAAGAAATGTTTAATAAAGTAAACAAATAAATATTAAGCTTTTTTTTTTTTTTTTTTTGGTATATTTGATACCTTTTAGATCATAATTGCTCTTTATTTCGTAAATCACGGTTTCATATTTTTAATTTTATAATTTCTGCATGCAATCTTACCAGATTTAAATTGATGATCTATAATCCGGAAAAACCCCTAATTCGGAATCGCCGAAGTCCTGACGAGTCCGGATTAAAGACTTTGTACTGTACTTCCAAGGGAAGTATGGTTGGAAAGCTGAAATTGAAAGGAATTGACGGAAGAGCACCACCAGCAATGGAGGCTGCAGCTTAATTTGACTCGGACACAGGAAAGATTGACAGATTAAGAGTTCTTTCTAGATTCTGTGGCTGGCGGTGCATAGCTATTCTTATTTGGTGGAGTGATAGGTCCAGTTAATTCTGATAAAGAACAAGACTCTAGCCTAGTAGACAATCTGATCCTTCGAATCAAACATTTTTCTTAGAAGGCATTTAGCCGCATGAGACAGAGCAATAATAAGTCTGTGATGCCCATAGATGTCCTGGGCCACACTTGCGGTACATTGAAGGAATCAGCTTGTGCTTTCTCTGTACAACTGGATTGGTTAACTTGTTGAACCTCCTTCGTGCTGGGGAAAGGGGCATGGAATTGTTCCCCTTTAACGAGGAAGTCCCAATAAGCATGAGTCATAAGCTTGTGTTCATTATGTACCTTCTGTTTGCACACACTGGCCATTACTACTACCGATTTAGGGATTTAGTGAGGTATTTGCACTGGCTCTTCAAGTGGCTTTTGGGTCGCATTGCCGTGCTAATGTTTATTTTTGGCCAAAGGAGAATTTGGCTTAATTTTGGTTAATTTAAAGAATACTAATGTGAGCATTAACAAATTTACTCATTCAGTGATTTTCAAAGCAGAAAAAGAAATCTTACATAAAATGCAGTTGCTTCAATAAGTTTTTTTAGACAAAAGTGACTTTATAAAATAAAATTTTAGATAGTGCCTCTCATTTAATATATGAATGTCTAATTCAAGTAATCACAGCTACAATTAAAAGTAAAAATACATGTACTAGGGTTCATAGCCACATTTTAGTTAAAAAATAAGCACCTATAAGCACTTTTCAAGCACATTTTAAAAAAATAAGCACCTGTCTAGTTACATAATACACAACTGCATAACCTTAAAAATTAGACTTGTAATTTTAAATATGAGAAATGCAATATTTATTAAGAGAATGAGCATTACCTCAACAATGAAAATGTTTTTAATTGTAATTTTCAACAGATGGCGTTAAATTTCCGGAATAGAATCATTCTTCGCTTGAGTTGGTAGACCACAGAACTTTTAGTCTTATTCAATCCAGATTAGAAAATGAAAAAAAAAAAAAAAAAAAAAAGTCCGTTGCTTGTTTTGCAGCGAACTGTAACAGTTTCAATATTCCAGATTTTGCGGAGAAAGGGGAGAACCTCCCAATCTTCGTACTGTCTAATGAATTGGCCAAAAAATGAAATTATTTTGACTATTCGATTACTTTTCCTTTATTTAAGCCATTCCAAATATTATTTAGACAGGGTTCGTACGGTCCTTAAGAATCGTTAGATTTTTTGGAATCAATTTTTGGTCCTTAATTTTAATCATCTGAAATTTCTCTCTGTTTTTACGACTGCCATTTTGAAATTAGCATTTTGGAGGAATGTTTTTGGCGATTCACTGCTGTATATATGGTTATCTTTTGAATGCGTTCATGAGTTACAATTTGTTTCTATTTCTAATATAAATGATGGGATACTCGAGTTTCTAAGCAAGAAGTGAAATATAAGCATTTCGAAATTCATTTTTTCTAATAAAGAGCTCTTAAACAACTTTTCACTTTTGGAAATGTGAATTCTTTTATAAAACGGTTCTAAATTTGGCGACTTTTCAACATTTTGGCGATTTTAAGCTTAGTTTCTATAGAAACTTTTTAATTCCGAGATTTGAGGCTTTTTCGACGTTTTTTTTAAAGCATTGATAAATTTCAATAAAATGATGGTAATATATTGAAATATTTAAAAAATAACATTAAAATAAAACATTTTTATTTTTTAGTGTCATATTATAAAGTTTCATTTTGGCAACTTATTATACAATAT